TCTGTGGATCATGTGTTTGCTTTGCTCAACCTGACACTCTCAGAGGATCACTGAGGGACACACTACTGGTAATAACATGTACCTTATACTGTGTACTATATACTTTAATACTGTAATATGTATACAGTACATGTACGTGTATATGTATATACAGTACATGTACATGTACATGTATGTGACTAAAATGAGAATGAATATTCAATAACTAACTATTACTAACTAAAAGTCTTATAGTTGTAACTAAAACAACACTAGTATGTGTATGCATACATAGTTAATTCTTATACTGTGTACTGTGATATGTATGTACATGTATTAATGTTATTTTCTTTTTCTATTGTAGGAAGTTCATCCAACTGGGATACTTGCTGTCCCCAGGGTGTGGGAGAAATTCAAAGAAGCAGCTGAAACTCAGTTTCAGTCTATTAGTGGAGTCAAGAAGTTTATAATAAGGAAAGCAATGGTAAGAAGAGAATCACTGTGTGACATCGTGTGATGTAGGGCAGGGCTTATGTACACTGGGTAATACTTTAAAATGGCCATAACTAAAAAAATTGAAGTTGGAATCAGCTCAAACTTTCTACACAGCATAAGGATATCAATATGTATCAGAAAATGTAATAAAAATTTGGGGTAATTTCGGAGCCATTTTTTGGAAAAAATCTCTCTGCTTCTTTGATGAAAGATGTCTGTCCGAATGTCGTCAAGGAACCAGTCTTACAACCCCTCACTGGGGAAACCTTGCGATATCGGACAGCATCCACAGATGATGAAGCTAGACTGGACATTTCTGCTGAGGGATTCTGGGGCCATCGCTTTAGGAAAGTGTTCTTTGATGTTCGAGTGTTTTGTCCTCTAGCCCCTACCAACAAGTCTCGCACTTTGGAAGCATGCTACCGAGACAATGAGCTGAAGAAGAAAAGAAAGTATGAGCAAAGGGTGAGGGAAGTAGAGCATTCCTCCTTCACTCCCCTTATTTTCTCCACCTCGGGTGGCTGTAGCCCCCTCACCACCTCCTTCCTCAAGAGACTCTCTCTCCTCTACACTGACAAATTTAACAGACCCTACCACTCAACAATGAATTTCATTCGCTGCCAATATTCACTATCCTTCGGTCTGCAATTCGCTGTATAAGGGGTACCCAGCATCGTGGCAAAGTAGTTGACTATTCAGATTTTGACAGAGCGGCCTCTGATGCCCACATTGGTATTTCTTAGATTTATTCATTTTTTTAATTTTTATTCTATTATTATTATTATTATCATTATCATTATTATTATCAATATTATTATTATTATTATTATTATTATTACTATTATTATTATTATTATTTTTCCTTATCACTTTGTGTATCTTTCTTTACCTTAACCAATCTTTAACCTGTTCTTTGTTTTCTTCCTTATATTCCTTTCCTTAACCTACATGTTTATTTCTACCCTTTTTCATAATAAATTTTTTGAGGGCTCTGTTCCCTTTTCAACTGGGCTATAGCCTTGGGTATTTTTTAAAAATCAGCCATTTTTTTAAACGGCAGTAACTTGAAAAATTGAAGTCGGAATCACCTTAAACTTTCTACACAGTATTAGGACAACAATATGTATCAGAAAATCTAATAAAAATTTGGGGTGATTTTGGAGCCATTTTTTGGAAAAAACCAGGGGCTATAGCCTTGGGTATTTTTCAAAAATTAACCATTTTTTAAAATGGCCATAACTCAAAAAATTGAAGTCAGAATCAGCTCAAACTTTCTACACAGCATAAGTACATCAATATGTATCAGAAAATGTAATAAAAATTTGGGGTGATTTCGGAGCCATTTTTTGGAAAAAACCATGGGCTATAGCCTTGGGTATATTTTTTCAAAAATCAGCCATTTTTTAAAGCGGCAGTAACTTGATAAATTGAAGTCGGAATCAGCTCAAACTTTCTACACAGCATAAGGACATCAATATGTATCAGAAAATGTAATAAAAATTTGGAGTGATTTTTGCTAACACACAACTACTATCACAGTCCATTCTTACATGTAGCTTGTATAATGTATGTGTTCATTGTAATAGGAAGTTGGTCAATGAAGTCAAGAGAATAAGATAAACAGAAACAATCAATCTGTGTTTGGATATGGACTGGCCAACAGGTACACATAATAATCTGAAAATTAATATTTCTACATTTTAAATCTTTTTTACCTTTGTGACGTACATGTACATACATGTACATGTAAATAAGTAATTTTTCACGGACTTTTATGAAGTTTGTGATACTATCAAATATGGCACCTACTGTACCATTAATAATATTATTAATATCAGTTTTTTTCAGACTTGTTTTTAAAAATTTAAGAGAGAAACTTGGACTCGATCAATGCAGATTCTGTGTAAGCACAATATTCAAATTATTGTCATTATAATAACTTATTAATTATCTCTACAGATTTCAGGGGGTGCCCCTTTACCTAAAGCAGTAGTTGATTTCTATGCTGGTTTTGATATAGCTCTATTGCAGTTGTATGGAATGTCAGAGACTTCATCAGTAGTAACTGTGAA